CCTTTTGGTCATTTTTCTCCAAAGCTTCTTCCTAATCTTTCTTGATGCTTTCCACAATTGTTGAGACAACTTCTATTCTTAATGCTATTGGCTTTTTTCTTTCCAGGTTTACTTTTCGACATAGAGCATCAGCTACGACATATTCCTTACCATGGTGGTAAAGTATCTCACAGTCATAATCCTTGAGTAACTCTAGACAGTGTCGTTGCCTCATATTAAATTCCTTTTGATCAATGAGATACTAGAGACTTTTATGATCAGTGAAGATTTTGCACTTTGTGCCATAAAGATAATGCCTCCATATCTTTAATGTGAATACTACCAAGGCCAACTCCAAATCATGAGTGGGGTAGTTCTTCTCGTGCTCTTTCAACTGTCGAGATGCATATGCTATTACTTTATCTCTTTAGTCAGAACACAACCTAAACCAACTCTAGATGCATCGCTATAGACTTTGAAGTCTTCAACTCCGTTAGGTAAAAAAAGAATCGGTGCTTCACACAACTTCTTCTTTAACTTATTGAATGCTTATTTATGTTTCTCTCTCCATGTATATGGAGCTCCTTTATGGGTCAAAGTTGTTAATGGAGCAACTATCAAAGAAAAGACTTGGATAAACCTTTGGTAATATCCAGCTAATCCTAGAAAACTATGAATCTCAGTGGGACTTTTTGGTCGTTCCTATTTCATCACAACATCAATCTTTGCTGGATCAACCATTATCCCTTCCTGGTTAACTACATGACCCATGAATTGGACTTCTCGAATCCAAAAATCACATTTGGAGAGCTTTGTGTACGACTTCTCCTTCCTCAAAACTTCTAATACTTCTCGCAGGTGCTTGCCATGCTCCTGCTGGGTCTTTGAGTAAATTAGAATGTAATCTATGAACACTATTACAGATTTATCGAGGAATGGTTTACAAACCCTCTTCATCAAATCCATAAATGTTGTTGGGGCATTGGTTAGTCCAAATGACATAACCAAGAACTCATAGTGTCTGTATCTTGTTTTGAATGAGGTCTTCTCGATATCTTGCTCTCTCACCTTCAGTTGATGATATCCTGACCTAAGATCGATCTTTGAGAAATAGCTTGAACCTTGAAGTTGATCGAACAGGTCATCAATCCTTGGAAATGGATACTTGTTCTTTACCGTTGCCTTGTTCAGTTCTCTATAGTCTATGCACATTCTCATTCTCCCATCCTTCTTCTTCACGAATAACACTGGAGCTCCCCAGGGTGAAGAACTAGGTCTAATGAAACCGTTGTCCAACAAATCTTAAGCTGCATCATAAGCTCTTTCATCTTTGCCAGTGCCAATTGGTATGGTGCTTTCGCTATTGGTGTCGATCCTGGCAACAGGTCTATTCGAAACTCTACTGGTCTATCAGGGGTCAATCCATGAATATCTTCAGGAAAGACTTCCGGATAGTCACACACCACTGGTATTCTTTGCATTTCTTTCTTCTCCTTTTTTACGTCGATCACAAATGCCAAGTATGATGTACATCCTTTAGACAAACATTTTCTAGCTTTCATCAGGAAAATGATTCCAGAATTTACTCTACATTTGTCCCCGTACACCATAAATGACTCTTTCCGGGTGGGTTTACTCTCACCATCTTCTTCTTACATAGTATCTCAGCATCGTTCACACTAAGCCAATCCATCACTAGTACAATGTCGAAACCGTTCAACTCAATGGGCAACAACTCCTCGTGGAATTTATTCTCGTTCAAGTCGATGATGATGTTTTTAATGCAATCGCTAATAGGTATGAATTTTCCACTAGCAACTTCTACACCTAGAGCATTATCAAGTTTATTTACATGAAATGCTAGTCTTCCACCAAATTTATGCGATATAAAGGAGTAATTAGCTCCTGAATCAAACAATATATTGGCAGGCAATCCATTTACAAGAAATTTACGTGAAGCGACATCTGCTTCATCCCTTGCTACTTCCAGGGTCATCTGGAATGCTCTTGCCTTTGGCCTTGGTGTAATATTAGGCCTTGCTGCCTCTTTCTTCTTTGGGCAGTCCCTAGAAATATGCCCTTCTTCATTACATCTGTAACACACCCTCTTGTTGATGTACACTCATTAGCGTAATGCTCAGTCTTCCCATACTTGAAACAATACATTTTCCAAAGTGTTTCTTTTTTCACTTCTCACACCATTTTGCTTCACCTCCGCCTCCTCCAAACTTTTTAGAACAAGACTTTGAGAACCTGCTTTTCTTGTTGGACCTTGTAGATCCATAAAACTTCCCCTTCTCTCCTACCTCAGATCTCTCTAGACCCTTCTCCCTTAACTGGGTATCCACATTCTTGGATGCTTTAACGAGTGTCTTCAAGGTAGTTGCCATTTTGACCGTTGGACCAAAGTCTACTGGAAATCCGTTAGCAAAATTCTCTATCTTGGAGAGTTCAGTAGGCACCAAGTAGGGGAATAACTTCATCCTCTCGGTGAATGCGGTAGCATAGTCATCAACACTCATCTTCCCTTTCTTCAGGTTCTAAAACTCATTGTTTAGGTCTATCAGATCTACCTCTGAGCAGTATTGCATTTTCAACTGCTCCAATAATGCTTCCCAAAACATCCTTAGGGCTTCTCCCCGTGGCATTGTATCTGCCAACAACTTCCACAAACTTAAAACTTTGGTCTTTAGTTGTCTGACTGCAAAGACGGTTTTGCGCTTGTTGCTGCAGTTGTAGCTTTCAAATACCATCTTCATTTTGGAGATCCAGTCACTACTACAAAACAACCTTTTGCGACACGCAATGCGTGTCGTAAAACACTCAGACGACATGCAAATGTGTGTCAAGGAAGGCCCTGTCATAACGAAAGACGACACGCTTTTGCGCGTCGTCTATTTACGACATGCATTTATGACGCGCAATTACGACACGCATTTACGACACACATTTACGACACGCATTGCGTGTCAAGGAAGGCATTGTCATAAAGGAAGAATACACACATTTGTGTGTCGTAACCTTACAATGTGCGTTTAGGACACGCATTGCGTATCATTAAAGCCCCTGTCATAAATTAAGATGGCACGCATTTGTGTGTCATAAACTTCAGCAACCATTTACGATTTACATTTACGACGCGTCTTTACGATACTCATTTACGCATAATACAAAAATATGGAAACAAATATATACCAAAAAAATCAATTTCTAATGCTAAATAAATATAGTACATTGATATTAGTGGGCTTTCCCTAACTATATATATAATCTAGGTAGTATATCGTCATACAATTAGGTTGCATAATTTTAGTGTTTTGTCTAGTGCGAAACTCTTCGAATGTCATTTCTCTCATAATAGATCCAGCTAAGACTTTTCCACTGCCTGCAGGAATGTTAAGTATGAACTAGTTCCAAAATAAAAATAAATAAATAAATAAATAATGTTGCAAAAATCATCCAAATAACCAATTTTAGATTGCTTTAATTTTCATAATAGATGTCAAAGGCATGTTACAGGGGTAGGATATATAAAATATCAGTATATAAATAAAAGTTACAACCATGTTCAAGGATTCATGGGATTAGTTGGCTAAACATGAAACATTCATTTTGTCAACACCGGTTAAGTGTAAAAAGGTGGAGTGGGCATGTTACAAGGGTAGAATAATGTTCGGTTGCTATAGTAGTACAATTGGTAAGATAAACACAATCACGCCAATTACTAGGGGTGAGCATGGTGCGGTTATTGGCCAAAACCGAACCGCAGACCGCAAATACGCTTATTACATTTTCAATACCAAATGGTGCGGTTATTTTTGCGGTGCAGTTTTGTAATTTTTCTGTGCAGTTCAGTTTTTTACGGTTACGGTTCGATTTTTAGCCGTATGAATTTATTGTAGATTTTTTGTAAGGCTTTTAACTTCATGGATTAGCCAAACTCAATCACAATCTGTCCAACACAGCCAATACAAACTAAAAACTTCAATTTTTTGTTTAGTAAAAGTGGTTTGGATTATCACTTTTTCAGACTAATTCCAAATACTGGTTGGTTTTTTTCTCAACAAAAGGCTTCCTTTTATCAGGGAGGGTATTGGCTTTTCTTTCTCACCACCAGCGATATGGGTGCTAGGATATCACACAAAACTTATGTAATACTCTTTTATTCATTTTATTTTCTACTTTCAATGTACAAAATATCAGTTTCATTACCGATTCTTAAAGATGTTTTTAATATATAATATATCTACATCTTTAATAAAATATTAATTTTCACAAGTGAAAATGGTGATGTGAAAAATAAGCATTATGAAGTCATATATTAATCATATAAATGTGGTAAACATTCAATCCAGTTATAAGCATTATGAAGTCATATAATAATCATATAAATAAGCATTATGAAGTCATATATTAATCATACCTGAAAGCAGTATTCAACATGTTCAATACCCCTATAATTCTCATAGTTTTTACGATCCATCTTATAATACTAGAACATAAAAACCAAAAAGGAAATCATTACAATTATGTACACTCTAAATGTAAAAATTCTTTAGCTTGTAATTCATTATATTGTGAAAGATTCCATATAGACTTCAATGCTCAAAAATTACACAAAATCAAACTACTAATCCTTTTAATATTTTATTATAATAAAAAAACTTACCTGAAGAATACTTTTTGTAGCACAAGCCTTGCCCACAGGTTTCATTCATATGTCTGTAAAAAACCAATGATTCAGTATAATTTGCTCGAATTCCATCTACATATTAAAATGTGTCAACTTATAGATTTTTAAACACAATAACCAAAAATGCCATGGCATTGGTAATTAGGAAGTAAAATCAAGTAGTACGTTATCTTGTATTGCAAAAAGAAACTTAATGTTTTCCTCTCTGACAATAGTAATAGTTGGTGGTTTCTCATATGCAGCCAAAGGTTTAGTCGCCAATAAGAGTTGTAAAATATTATCAAGTGGTGTTAAACTGTTGATTTAAAAAGAAAAACCTTAGCTTTTTTCAAATTATTCTTCTAGGCAAAATGGTTAGCTGCATTATATCAAAATGTAAATATAAAATATATTTGAAAATGTGTCGACATCTAGAAAAACTAATTATGTTGATAGATACTCACCTGCTTAACTCTACAGAAAGGTTCAAGGTGGCTGTCAAAGTATTGTTTCTCTTCTGCAGCTCTACTCCCATGGCCTACCCAAAGCTGCAATAATAAAAGTACAAAGATATCAAGTGGCTTTTTTTTAACTTAATGTACTTAATGAATACTGAACTTAGTGCATACAGATATTCTTTTTAACTTTATGAATTAAGAAGTTTTGTATATGTTAAGTCATGCAAGAAACCTAGCAATGCATATATGACTAAAATGCTCTAAAAAGAGTAAACTACAGAAATCATCCATGTGGTTATGTAAAAAATTATGGATTTGGTTTGAGATTATGAAAATGATGTTGTAAAATAATGAAAACATACAAGAGTGACCCATTGAATTGTATAATATAGAAATTCATATCAGTTTGTATTTGATTTGAGATCATGAAAATGATGCTCTAAAATAATGAAAACATATAAAAAACAGAGCACGAACCTCGCTCTAATACCCCAGTACTCTACATCCTACAGTACACACATGCTAAATGACAATAAAATAAGGCAACAACAAAAATGAGATATGATTTTACAACAAAATATATATGATGATAAAATTCAGCAAAGAAACCAATCATTCAATCAAGTCATCTTCATCTAGGTCAGAACACAAACCAAAGGAAGGCTACTTTCTGCCATTTTTGTTCCTGAATACTATTAATGACAAAAATCCCCAAAGTTAAATATGTATATAAATACTTCATAGAGGAGAAAATCGATAATATCAAGTGGAATTGCATTAGAGATGAAGCAGATGCAGGAAAAATCAAACCTAGGGCTTGTAAACCTGAGGCGACTTAATTCTTATATGGAGTAGGGTAGAAGGGAAGTGGATCGATTGGCTCTAAGAGACTAAAAGTACCCCTAAAGCTAAATTTTCCAGATCTGGCAGGTTTTGTAACTGGTAAGGGGGGATAGAACAGTCATTACTTATCCAATATGGGACAAAAAAATCTTATGGTATTTGGGGAAGCTGCAGTTGCTCCCATGTCACGTTCGATGCTCACCCACAATCTCATGTATCACGAATGCAATAGATGTAAATTAATTGCCATTTTTATTGGGAAAATTGCAGGAATTTGACACCATTTTCCAAATGTATTCTACTCCAGGCCTGCTATGAATTACATCTAGGCCCCTGGAGAAGGGTAAGATTCCCTCTTGTTGAATTTTTGATGGTTTCTCAAAACCTACATTGACATTGTGAAAGCATATAAGATTATCTCCATTTTTCAACAAAATTGTAAAAGTAAACAAGAATGAAAAGTCAAACTTACCGTATGCATATATGCCTCTCAGGGAGTCATTCTCTCCCAACCCATTGAACTTACTAGTCACATCAGTTTTTCTCTTTCATTTTTCTTCATCTTTCCCAACCCACAACACATGGAAACCCTATCTTTTTCAACCCACTCAACCCATTAAATTAAAAAAATACAAAATAATCAATGTAAAATCGTAATTAGCAATATAGTTACCACCGGTACCACTCCCTTTTCAGTGGGTTATTTAATTGGTTTCACTAACCCACTTCATCCTATCTCTCTACTTTCTATCTCTCATTTTCTCTTATACCATGTGTTTTAAAACTTGTACCTTAGTTGTTTTGTATTTTTTTTTTAATTGAGTGGCTTGAGTGGGTTGAGAAAGATAGGATTTCCGTGTGTTGTGGGTTGGAAAAGATGAAAAAAGAGACAAAAATTGATATGACAGTGGGTTCAGTGGGTTGGGAGGGAATGATTCCCTCCTCCCTTAAAAGGTTTTCTTGCAAACCCATAGGATCAAAACTATCATAAACCTCATCATATGATGTGAAAAAGACGAGTCCATCAGATAAAAACCTATATAATCAATAACTTATCAACATATGAAAGATTAACCTTGCTAATTTCTCACATTCAATCAACAATTGGATTATAGGAGGGACACTTACAGCTCTTTCATCTTTGAATCAAATTGAGCCTCATCAAAATAAGATGCTTCATGAACCATAGTTGCCATGACTGCAAAAATAGCAACAATAATCACTCTTAAGCAAAAGAAACCACATAAAACATATATGAGTTTGATTATCATAAGAAAGATACAGTGAGAATACATGGTTCTTGATTCCCAGGGTTATAAGAAGGATTATAAGAACTCGTAGAACCAAAAACCCCTATTTCCCCCAAAATACATCTTCTCAAATAACGAAATACATATTAAAAATGTCGGAACAAAAATATACATTAACTCCAATTAGTCCGGTTTTTCACAAAATTCTACACAAAACCTAGTAAAGTTTGTTTGAAGCGAGTTGAATAGAACTCACACATCACGCAAAACTCTCTCATACATTATCCGACTAACAAATAAATTTTATCTGGTAGTTTGAATAGAAAATATCTAACGCTAGAATTAAGATACAAGCTAGATAGAGAAAGCGATTAGAACATACCTATCACATTTGTTGTTACCTAGATAGAGAAAGTGAGCATTAAAAATGATGAGTAGAGGGGGAGAGAAAGTAATGGTGGGTTGATAGCGCCTGAAAGTGTGTGCAAAAAAGGACCAAGGCACTTTCCCTTTTTCTCTTCTGAGCATCAAAACGGAGTGAGCGTGTAGTTGGGTTTCTGCAAAGATGGAAACAAATGAATTTGAGGTCAGGTGAGCATGAGATCGTCGATGAGGAGAAGTGAGCAAGGGGTTTCCAGCAAGCGATGCGAGGTCGTCGGATCGATGGTAGAGAGCATTGAGTGAGTGAGTGTTTTGAGTTTTAAAAAAGCCCTAGAATTAAAATCAATATCAGTCCCTGTGATGTTGTTATAACAGACGCGCGTTTGAGTAAAATTATAAAACGACATTTATAGAGGACACACGCTTAAGATAAGCATCCTCCGTGTTTTTAACTTTTTTTTATTAAGACACTATTTTTGGGGCACGCAAAAATGTGTGTCCTTGATCCTTCAAATTTTGTGAGAGATGACATTATTTTTAGGACGCACACTTTACCGTATCATAAATTAGTGTGTGTCATGGTTTGTGTGTCATTAAAGGTCTATATTCTAGTAGTGAGTCCATAATCTCTACTGGCTTTGGGCTTCCACAAAGACTTGGTGATTTGGCACCCAAGAAGTTCTTATACATACGCCCATCCCTGTCAATCCCTCTGTCCGGGTCGTTCCTCCTGACCACTCAGGGTTTAACTTGACTCACAGTACGGCTATAATTTCCCTCATCCGACAGCTCTTCATTTAGTTCGGGTTGCACAACAGGCACAGTGGGTTCATCCCTATTCTGTTTAAGCAAAAGCCTTGTCTCTTCCATCTGACTATCCAACATCATTTGTATCATTGTCTGTAATTTTGCCATTGTGATTGGCTCGGGTGCAGCTGCTACCTTTGGTGCACGCTCAATCACTCGTGGCTCAGACTGTTGGTTTCCATTAGCGTTTCCTAATCCGCTGCGAGTTCTCACCGTATCGATCTATACACCAAATCAGGAAAAAATTTAGATCTTTATTTGCGATAGACGTTTAAATCCTCCTTGTCTCTCCGAAAAGTTATATTCCAGTTCTAATACCGTAATTAAATGTTTAGAAATTTGAACACATAAAGTTTCCAGATCCGGTCGGCAATAGACCATAGAGCCAATCAAATAATAGCATCATAAAGCATATAAGGCATCTTTATAGCTATAACATAAATCATTTAGCATATAAAAGCAATTTAGGTATCTTTCCTAAAATAAGCTAGTGCTCGTTTCAATTCATGTGTATTTCCTAAATATAGCAGACAATCATCTCACAATCATCGCTTAGCATTCTAAGTTTAAGTCTAGAAATCCTACAAATTCCTATTTCGCTTAAACTAATGCTCTGATACCAACTGTGACATCCCCAATTTTACGCCCAGAAAAGACCGATTTGTTTATGCTTTATTTAAAAATCAGAGTATCTTTTTGAAGAATAATATTGTGGAATTTGTTCCCAAAATATGATAAATATATTATCAAGTAATTCTGAAAAAATGCATTTTAATTATATTACAAATATTGGGATGCAATCGTCAATACGGTACATAATCATAAACGGAAAATAACATAGGCCTTACAACATCTATTATTCCACTGGCCTATAATCCATAATTCTCGTATCTGTTCATCACACTGGTGCTCTTGTGCCACTACCTGTAATACAAGAAACTGAGTGGGTCAGGCTTGGGAACCTGGTGAGCACATAGGGTTTTCAACCCACAATAATTAATTTCTTTAATTTCATCAAATCATTCAACCCGATTACTCGTTCCCGTTATCCTTACTTTATATCCCTAAAGCATCTGATTTAAGGGACCTAGCCTAAGGATTATCTTAGGGGTTGAAAATAATGCTTTGGGGATTCCTTAGCAATATATGTCAGTAAGGCAACCATGAGGGGGATGAAGTACACATGGTGAACACGTAGTTTAAAAACACCTACAGGTTGCGAGCCTGCCAGCATTCCACTAGACTGTCTAGAATAGTCCGTGGTCGTCATCTATACTCTGCTAGATGAGTGGATCGACTTTAACATCAAGGCCACTCATCATTTATTTCATCTTTCATCATCTATATCATATACCCATCTTCACCCAACATAATTATAGGTATAAATACATATAAAGTTTAAATCGAGTAAAACATGTATAAATAGTTCATTTAGCATAGATATCAGGAACACTAATAATAGGAACATATAGCAAGTAATTTATATTAAATACTTCATATCTATGTGTAAGATGAAAGTAACTATGCACTCACTTGTGAAAATGACGACTCGATATTCGGGCAGTGCTTCGCTTCTAACAATTATCTTTTCCTTTGACGAAACCTAGTATCATTATTATTAATTTTTAGTCTAATATTTATTGCGACTAATTATTATTCTAGATTCATCATTAACACAAAGTCTACTTGCATGATCTATCAAGTAAGGAACAAACAGGTAGGATCATATCGGAGGTAGGGTCTGTTTGGTATACGAAGTATACTGTTTGGAAATCCCACTTTAAACACCTCACTAAATCACAGCCTATACATCATCCCCGTAAGTAGATCAATTAGTATAATGACTTTGAATCACTGATAAATCTTGTTTATAGGTTCATAATAATGATAATGAACTTAAACATAAGTTATACTTAAAGTATGGTAAGCATAACTCACTTACAAGGGGGTTTAGCGAGGAACCGGGCTCTGCGTGGACAGAACTTCTGAGCTGAAATATCTTCTTCTTGGGGCCTTCTGGTGCTCCGGGACTCGCTTCTAATACCTAGGAGGTACTAGGGAAAGGCTTAGAGGGTTTGGGGATGTTTGAGAGAGAATGGGTTAGAAAGGTGTGAGGAATTGAGTGATTTGCGCCTTCTATTTATAGGTTGTGAAGAGGACGTATGTTGGGTGTACTCCAGCATTATGCTGGGCATAATGTGGCCATGTGTCACCATCTGCTGGCAAGCCGTGGGGAAGAAGTAGTTGCTCGAATCATGCTACGTGTCACTCGCTGGTTTAGCCCAAAAATAAATTATCTTCTAAAATCCGTAACTTTCCTATACGAGCTCCATTTTTGACGTTCTTTATATCCACACGTAGGTAGCGACATGATCTACAACTTTCATTCAGACTCCGTCGGCTAATTTTGACTTTATTTTTAAAGTTATATTTTAACAGACTTAGACAGTTAAAGTCCATTAAAAATTCATAACTTTGTCATTCGACGTCCGTTTTCGACTGTCTTTATATCGTTGAGCTCCTATTAATGAGATCTTCAATTCTTGTTTAGATTGTGTCGGCTAAAAATCGATCGGTCTAAAATTCGATTTCCGGGTTGTGTACTGCTACGCTAAATCTTAGAAAAATCATAATTTCTTCTAACGAAGTCAGATTTGGAAGTTCTTTTTATGTACGTTCTCAGTTTAGCGAATACTATGACTTTCGTTTAGATCGCTAATGTTAATAAGTAGTTTATCAAAAATTCACTTTTTACGATACGCGGCGCCGTGCCAATTTAGTCGCGAAACTTCGACGGGTCATAACTTATTCGTTATAAGTCGGATTTCAGCGTTCTTTATATCTCCGGAATCCTTTTCACGACTACTTCAAATTTCTATAAAGATATTGGGTCTAATTTTCATTCCATTTTTGACGCATATTTTTATAATTATTTTATTATATCGTTATAAGCACGTATATTGCACATAAATCACGTAAATCACATTATACTCAAATAATAATTCTTCATTACTTCAAAATAGGTTACAATTGTTGACCCTAACTATTACATCCTTATAATAATGCTTAGCCAGAAACGCGGGCGTTACAGCAGACGATTTAATTTATATAGTTTTTGTTATGTTTGCCTATTTGTTATGGAAATTCATGTATTACTACTATCTGTAAGAACATTGTATTCAAACTTAAAGATGGAATACAAATGTTGTTTTGTTTATTGTTGTACTTGTGCTATATATTCAGTTTATCTGTGATCCATGAACTTAGTCGCATAGCCTGACATGTTCTACCGCCTCGGCCCGGTATGTGACATGTGATCCGCCAAATCATGGTTCGACCTTATTCTCATTTAAGTTCGAACCATAAGTCCTTATAACTTATGGTTCAATATTGTTATATGTAACGCCTGCAGATTCGGGCTATCCAATTTAGAGACAATAAACGCCAAAAATGACTTTTTGATGGAAGATTATTTATAATAAACAATATTAACTAAGTTATAGTATATGTCACAAGGGTTCCGTACATATAAAGAACGCTGAAATCTGAGTTATAACGAAGAAGTTATGACCTGTCGAAGTTTCGCGACAAAACCGGCACGACACCGGGAATCGTAAAAAGTGAGTTTACGATAGAGTACTTTTAGCCTTAGTGATCTAAACAAAAGTTGTAGAGAACGTCTCCACCTACGCGTGGATATAAAGAACGTCAAAAACGCAGCTCGTATGCAAAAGTTATGACCTTTCGAAGATGTAGCTGTCTGAGAGCATGACACGTGGCAGAAACCCTAATATGTCAGGGCTCACGATGTGAGCATGTATTCTCACGACGTGAGGAGTCAAACAGACACCTTTCAGAGCTAGAAACGCAAATGTCAAGTCTAAGAGGTGATCAGCCATGGCTCACGACGTGAGCATGTGTGGCTCACGACGTGAGAGAGCCAAAATTAGCCTATAAATAGCAAGCTCGACCCTAACACTCCTTACACCAAACCTTCTTTCCCTCTCTCGTTTGCCGAAGGCCATTTCCCTTCCTGAGCCCGACGATCACGAACCGCTGACCGTTTCTAGTTAGATTTTATCAAATCACACTACTAAGGTGAGTGCATAGTTACTTTCATCTTACACATAGATATGAAGTATTTAATATAAATTACGTGTTATGTGTGCATATTATCTGTGTTCCTGATATTTATGCTAGATGAACGATTTATACATGTTTACATGATTTAAACTATATACGTATTTTTATACTTATAAATATATATTGGGTAGTGATGGGTGATGAGAGATAGGTGATGATAGAAAGATGATGATAATTAGGTGATGATAGAAAGGTGATGATAATTAGGTGATGATAGATAGGTGATGATAAATAGGTGATGTGAGATGAGGGGAGATACCATAACCTTGACCGGCGATGTGGCAATGTGGCAATGTAGTCATCTACTAGAGTATAGATGGCGACCACAGACTATTCTAGACAGTCATGTGGAAACACCAGCATGCTCATAACCTGTAGGTGATGAATTACGAGTTCATGCGATGTTGTAACTTATAATTCCTTACAAGGAAGCCATGGCAGGCCCTGGTTCGACCTTACCTTTATTTTAGCTCGAACCATAATTCCTTATAACTTATGGTTCAATATTATTATAAGTTACCATCATCTGTCAAATCATGGTTTGACTCTATTAAAAATGAACCATAAGTCCTTCTAACTTATGGTTCGGTATTATAGGTTACCATGAACCGCCAAATCATGGTTCGACCTTATTCTTATTTAAGTTCGAACCATAAATCCTTATAGCTTATGGTTTAGTATTATTATAAGTCACTAATCATGGTTTGACTCTATTAAATATGAACCATAAGTCCTTCTAGCTTATTCTTCGGTATTATAGGTTACCATGATCCGCCAAATCATGGTTCAACCTTACTCTTATTTAAGTTGGAACCATAAGTCCATATAACTTATGGTTAAGTATTATTATAAGTCACCATGATTGGTTAAATCATGGTTCGAATATATTAGATACGAACCATAAGTCCTTCTAGCTTATGGTTCGGTACTATAGGTTACCATGATCCGTAAAATCATGGTTCGACTTTATTCCTATTTAAGTTCGAACCATAAGCCCTTGTAGCTTATGGTTCAATATTACTGTAAGTCATCGCGATCTGCCAAATCATAGTTCAATATTATAATCAGTTTGAACTATACACGTCAACAATATATGGCTCGATATCCTTGAAATATGTTAGGATTCATTGAACCACGATTCAATATCATTATTAGCATATGTCATGGCTCTAAATAGCTCACGACCAACTAAGCCAATCAAATCAAACGCCTAATGTTGTTTATATTCAATTTTCTAAATTCAACAGTTTGTGACTAAAATGTAGTTTCAATAACAATATATAAAGAGGTCATGGGGAGAAAAGTTCAAATTGACATATAAAAGTCACAAAAATACATATGTAGATATAATTACATAATACTGTTTGATATCGTCATCCAAAAGGGTTACATATCCAAATAAGAATGTCACCAAGAGAAAAAACATCATTCAAGTACATCAAAACAGGAACCAACAGTTACACATAACACCTAACACAAAAACCACCAACCCAATCAAACATGAGCACCTGTATCATCACGGCTGCAAGACGGATCCAATGCATTCATCTTTTCTTTCAACAGATTCACATCCACCTTATCTCGCTCCAAAATATCAAACAAGGAATACTTATAAGTTATCATATCAATAAAACGGTCGAGGATTCAGCGTTGGGCATCAGGATAAGAAAAAATAATGCTTTTGCCCTCCAAAGCCTCGTCATACTTTTCTTTCATTTTAATGCACACTTGATGCAACCCAAGTTGGATAGCCGCAGTTTGAATAGCAGCGTTGACATCACCAGAATCCGATGAAATTTAGTACATCCCTAACAAATGAAGGAATACCTTCCTTCATCACCCATTGCAGATCAGACAAATACCCCTTGGACATTGCTTTAACGCTTCAACTCATCTTGGTTGATGGAGGATTGGGATTTAGTAAGGGACATGATCTGAGCATCTTTCTTGGTAATAAGGACCTTCCGATCAGCAAGGTCTTCCTCTAACAATTTAATGCGCATGTCCTTGTCAGAATAAGCAAACTCCAGTTGTGATACCTTTTCGGTATATCGGAGCTTCAGAGACTTGAATTGTTAGGATTTTCCCTCTAGTGCCTTACTCGCTTCCAAGCATCGGGCAACAACATCATCAACTTTAATTTGAAGATATTGATTCATTTTCTTGAACTCGCTTGATAGTAGATGCTCTCACTCAGATCATTCACCAAGTGCTTATTCCTCTTGGACAAGCCTAGTACCTCCTCCCGAAGTTTTTTAGCTTCCTCTTCCAATTGCTCACGACTACTATGTAGACCTTTCAATGCTTGAACATCCTCTTTAAACCTAAGCTGCTAGTTCGTAAGAATTTGAGCACGTGTTCGAGTGCGAGCAGATACTTCATTCAGTAAATGCATCCCTTCCATCAAGAAGGAACGAACTTTGTTGAGGCTCTCTTCATCTGACATGGTTGCAAGTTCTGGACTCTTGGGAGCTGTAGTTCTGGAAAAAGGATGTTGAAATTGAGGTAGTGAAATTGCTAGCGTAACAATCATGGACATAAGAGCATACTTAGCGGAAGAAGGTAAAATTGAAACGTAAAATTAAAGTTATCATTACCAAAAGTAACATGAAATCCTGGTATAAATAAATAACATAGGAGGAAAAACATACCAATCAACTATGAAGAGCTTTTAGAAGCACCGACTAGTGGGTTAAGATGAGCATCATCCCTAAACAAGGTCGCAGTATCCAAAGTCTCCATAGGAGTGAAGACTGAACTGCCATGGGCGTCCGAACTAGCAGGAAGGGAGTCCACGTCCGTAGTTATTGATTCGATGATAGATGCTTGGAAATTATCGCACCCAGAACCAAAAAGCTTTTGCTGAAAAATGGCCGCAACAAAAAGAACAGAAGAGGGTTTGTTCTATGATATTGGTTTAGTAGAATTGACGGGAGGAACTTTATCAGAGTTAGGATGAGGATCAACGCCATAAGGGAATACCCCCATGTCTGACTTACGAATGTTTTCCTAGACATGCTTTAACTATGGGGAAGACTTCAATGTACAATAATGAAATTCAGCAGTCAACGTTGGATGTACGGAAGGATCAGGACTTGATGAGTCCATTGAAGGCTCGTTGCTCAAATTCGTTGGACCACGATTTTTCGAATCACCACTACGACCAGACCTCTTTCGTTTGGGAAGGGAAAGATCAATCACACTATTAGATCGATTTATTATACCTTCCAAGGAAAGGGTTTTTTAAACTTCTTCCCCAACTTTCCTCTTAGACGATAATTTCCTAAGAGTCGCCCTAGTAGAAGAAGACGGTGGTCCTCCGTTTCCAATCTCCACCTTCACATGTTTCTTTGTTGGAGAAGGGGCTGTTGGCGCTGTAGATTCCGGAACAGAAGGATTCATGGCAGAATCCATACAATATTCTGACCGAGAAGGAGAGACAGGCACAAACACTTCCTCAATAACCAAAGAAGAGCCAGCCAAGCATTTCCTATGTAATCGCTCTAGCAGAGTAATTTCACGACCCGGTTTCCATGGGTTTCTTCCCCAATTTGTTACAGTAAGAGTTTACCCCCACCATACCTATCATTATTTCTTAAGGATCAACCCACTTGACGAAGTTCTCCGATAAACGATCTGCAATACTTTGTTCTTCAAGAGATAAATCAGAAGAGGGATCGACAGTTCTGTCATCAGTAGCACCATAAAACATACGTCCGACAAAAACGGAAGCGCGGATGAAGAACTCTTCCTTCCAATACTTTATAGAAGTGGGAAGGCTGTCATAGATCTCCACTAGGCCATGGCGAAGTTAAAACATACCCAATCACCATTGGACATAGTAACATAGAAGTGGCAGAATAGGGTGATAGAAGGCGTGACATCCATAACAGAACATAACATCACGATGCAAATGATTTTCCGAAAACCATTGGGGGTAATATGAGTGATGTGCAGATGATAGTAGTATAAGACTGTCATCAAGAAGTCAAATGCTGTAAATCGTAGACTTGATTTAAAGAAAACCCGATACATACCAACAAAACCTTCCGGAGCGTCAACAATGCCATTCCTAGGCTCGAGCAAACGCGGATTGAATTCATAGTCAATATGATACTTTTTCATGATCACAAAAGGTTCTTAGGGTATGTTTGGATTTCATGGTGTGAATACTTGAAATTTCTTTGCAAGCTATGAGGGAGTGAAACAAAGAAGCGAAAACGAAGAGTGGAGAACGAAGAGCAATCTGAAAATGGTCACATGCGGTGAAGAAAAGTAACCAAGCAAGAAGGGTATTTATAGGGAATTAAGTAAAGCTACATTTATGAAACAGACTAAGTGACAATTACACACTGTAGACCTTCTAAATAGAAAAGAATTGAAGATACAGTTATATGCAATGCTGAATGCTAGAAGCCGCCGAACCATCGCGTCAAACTTTAATTCAGGTGTTTATCCTTATCCGGCTAACAATTACTTAGAAAGACTTTTACGTTTGAATTGTTACTTCACGAAGAAAAGCAACAATCCAAATTGGGGGGAATTAATAGGGTATAGTCTAGCCTAAGGCTACACTCATACCCTCGTATACCAAACTAGATATATACCCAACCATGTATCTATTGAACCATATGCATACCAAACTATGCACGGGTACCAGACCATAGAAAAAAGTGACTAAGGTACAATATAACGTCACAACAGTGGTATAGTATATTGGGAATCAAAGAAAACAGTCTATATTATGATACGTGACTGATGGATCCTTTGACCAACAAGACACATCTATTAAACGACTGGTAAGTACATAAGAGTGTACCTTCGGGCATACGACCATTAATGCGACAAGATGCAAAACTTGGTCGGCACACGAAGAGGTTGTAGCCTCCTAACATTTACTATAAATAAGTGACAAGAATCACTCTATAAGGTATGCAACGATATACACATCGTATTAAGTCTCATTTTAACTTACAATCTATCTTCTCAAGATCATTAGTGACTTTATCATCGGAACGTTGGTACGGGATCTCCTCCCGAGCGATTAGCTTATAAAGTTGTTTGTAGTCTCTAGGTTGATTAAACGTGAAGGAGTCGTTAACCCTCACAACCGATGGAAGGCGAACCTGGAGGCACAATAGTGGGTTTGAGTACCTAAGCTTATATATTGTCGGGTATATTCACTTTTCATATATATATATATATATATATATATATATTATATATATATATATATATATATATATATATATATATATATAAGGAAAAGCGAATATACCTTACAAGGTATATAAGTGTAGGTACTCAAACTTATCATACTACGTCATTTTGTATTATATATATGCATTACAATGTTCTTAAACTTCAACCTTAACTTGATTATCTCTAAGATTTTTGAAATTTCATTATTATTTTCTCTTACATCACATCTTGTTGGTGATTGTGTCACCTGACATTTTGTGTAATTGGAACTGACATTTGAGCTAAAAGGTTTACCGTTTGTATTCTATATTATATATTTGGTGAATGCGAAGTGCATGCATATATAAGATCGAATTGTAAGCCGGTACGACAGAAATGTGGGGATCAAGGGGGTCGCGCCCCCTTGCAAGGTCCTTGATGCAACACCCCTAATGGGGTTCAAGGCCCAGAGCCCCTGGCGGTGGTCCCGCAGGGTTTGGGGTAGCGCCTCAAAAGGTCTTCGGAAATTAAAATTAGTTTCTTTATGGAAAATCTGAATTCTAGTGGGTGATTATGGTAAGATTGACAAATCTTGTCAATTTTGGTAACCATTGATTATATCATTAATTTCGGGCTTTGAATAACTAATTTAGAAGAGTAACCCTAATATGTCATGCATTTATACGGCTCCTCTTTTGAGCTGTAGACAAAACCCTTTTCTCAGCTCTTCTTTTTCTAAACGATCTCAGAATTCTCCGGCAATTTGGTTTGTGTTTCTATACCTAGATACGCAAGTGTTATTTTTGATTAACCTAGACTGGATTCCTATATCACAGACATGGGATGAAAATATCAGTTCGAAAAGTGAACATACACGATCCATAAGGAATCCAATTTTCCACCATCACCCACTGTTATATCCTTCAACACATCTTTCTGCCGAACACCTATCAGAATATATATATATATATATATATATATATATATATATATATATATATAGGATTAGGTTCTATGGAAAATAAATGTCTAGGGCATCAAGTTAGGAACCAATTCTCAATTGACACTTGTCAATTGTAGAAGTTACTGAAATTACGAAACTCGTTTTTTTGATTTGGTTAAATTTACGAATTTAGTCCATGTGGTTTTCTTAAAATTATATGTTTAGTCCAACTGTATTTGTTTAGATCTGCCAACCAACCCCTCATCTTCCCTTCCGTTTCATTTTCCCTTTCCAGTTCATCATCCTCGTCCATGAAGAAGAAACCCATAAAAAATTCTATATGATTAACAAAATTTATAAAATCAAAATACACTGAGGGAAAAGGTTGGCTCCCATCACCACCTTTTACCAGAGACAACATCCAAAGGTAAATCTAAAAACCATTTCACCTTCATTGTGAATCTCCATATCGAAATTCCAAATTCAAATCACATAACTCAAATCCAACACCCACCCATTACACTGACTACGTTTTATATCTATATCTTCATCTTTCATCTTCATTTTCATATATGATTTATGAAAGGACACACATACACACTAGATTTTCAAAAAATTGATCTTCAAGAAAACACATGAAGACACACATACATCAGATGAAGAAACCCTATTAATTGTGTTCATCTTTCAGAAATTCTAGTGAAAATAGAAACCCTAAAATCGATATTGGCAGCAAACTAACTAAAACCGAAGCCCTAATTTTTTGAAATCGATATGCAAGAAGGAACCGATCGGGGGGGATACGAACATTTCATTCCCCATGCTACTCACTACCCTACCAGTGGTTAAAAGAAACGAATTTAGCAAGAGGGTGAAGTTGATGAACAACAACATTTAGGGTGGTGGTGGTGATCGATGTTCTTTAATTATTATGATTTTTCAGAGTAAGAATTTTTGATGTAGTGTTTCGATGTGGTTAGCGTCTGAAGTTTGACAAACGCAGGTGTAGGGAGATTAAAGGTAGTTGTGTGTGGTGGTGCAGGTATGTAAACGTAGAGATACATGGATAGATGGTTGAGTATTCGGCGGTGCTATATAACACGGTGGTGGTTCCGGCGATTGTGTTCGGTGGTCCGGTGTTTGTCTTCAAAGAGATGCAGAGTGTATAGAAATATCAATATGGAATGGTTTGGATGGGGTGCAACTGTTTCATTTTAATTCTTTTTAGGATTTTGGAATCAATGAAGGTTCATGGACGGTGGATTTCATGGATGGTGGCTTTAATGCTTGATTCAAATTATGTCGACTGTTTTCGATGAAGTCTCATTTTTATTCTTTTCATTTTGATTTCAGTTGTTTCTTTCAGTCAAATGTTATTGGTTTTCAAGGACAGTGGCTTTAATGCCTTTTATTTCTATTAAATGTTATGTTGAAAGAATCGAAATCAGTTTTGAATTAGAGATGATATCCATGTATTAAATCAAAATTGATTTTTGACTATTTTAATTTTAAACTTTCAACTGAGATTGATAAAGGATTAAGGATTGATAGATTAGGAGAAATATTCTAAACCATAGGGACCATTTGTGTAATTACTTTAAATTTAATTGTAACCCTAATATTCATTTTCCATATAACCCTTCCCTATATATATATATATATATATATATATATATATATATATATATATATATATATATATATATATATATATATATATATATATATAGAGAGAGAGAGAGAGAGAGAGAGAGAGACAGAGAGAGAGAGAGAGGTAGGTTCAAGTATTCTAACTAATTATTGTGTGAATGTAGAATTGATCGTGGACCAATCAATTTTTAAGAAATATTAAATAATTAATAAATTGTTTAAATGGCATAATAGTAATGTTTAATCTTTTTAATTTTAGTAAAATTTGAAAACATTTAATATCCCCTTTTAATTAGGGAATTTAGTTTAAAACCCTACAATATATCATATATCAGTATCGATCCACTCTCCACCTCATCCCTCACAAATCATCTCGCTACATACATTGATCCCCATCATCGGTCGATGCCGAAATCCAGTGCTCAAATGATCGACAACTCCGTCGTCGTCAAATTTTCACCGGTGAAAAGTCTTTTCACCCACTGGCCACTACCTTATCATCGTTGTCGCCACCTTCTTTAATGGCGTTTCATCCTAACCGTCTCCAACAACAAATGGCTCTACAACAACATTTCTCCGACACCGACAACAATTTCGTCCTTCGTACGATTCTCCCGGACCACTATCACCTTGCCGTCGCCGCCCAGCCTTCTTTTCCCTCTTCTCGTTCTGCCGGAAAAGACCATTAGCTCGACGATTCGATTATCGCCGCTATGTCATCTGATGATTCACCTGATTTAAACAATCAATCGAGAAACATCGTCACAGCCAGGTTAGATTGAAATCTCAGACTTTTCAATTTTCAGTTTTCATCGGAAAAAAAAAATATACCCAATTGTCCAACTACTTCAAACCATCTTTATAACCACAAATGCTCTGTTTCAACATCCACGAACACCAATTGGTTGAATTCCTAATTGGGTTATCTAAAACACAGCCAATATGATTCTTGCAATGATATTTACAGGTCGATAACAATGGTGGAGGCGAGCTTGGGGAGAGTGAAGACGGAGGTGGCGACGTTAACTGGCAAAATGCGAGATATAAAGCAGGAGTACTATCACATCTGCTGTATGAACAATTATTATCAGCTCATGTCGCTTGTTTGAGAATCGTAACTCCCGTTGACCAGTTACCCAGAATCGATGCACAGTTAGCACAATCACAACATGTTGTATTAAAGTATTCGGGTTTTGAAGGACAGAGTAATTTTGGTGATGATAAAGAACTTGATCAATTCATGGTATGCTTCTTTTCTTCTTAATCTTATAATCTTTAGTCATAAAACTGATTAATTGTATGATCTGGTGTTGGAAACTTGAAACGCATACTCATTATGTTCTGTTGCTATGTTCTTTTAAAGAACAATTACAACAACACGTTCGTGTTCATGCAATGGAAGCAGTAATGGCGAAAGTAATTCTGCCAGAATTGAATCTTGAACTTCAATTATGTCGGAATAAAATCTCCAATTCCGATTCTATCGGAATTTAATCTCGATATTTCCCTTGTGATTTGTGCATTTTCTACAATTTTTGGTTATGAGTTTTGGTGCAATTCACAAGTATGCAGATTTGTACAAAGGACTTTAGTTTTTTCTTTTTCATTTGATAATGAACTATTCTTTCAGAATGGCTTTAAGGAGGAATCAATGATTGATCATACAATAGAAAGAATTGGAATTGAGTTCAATAACAAGTTACATTGAAGAAGATTAAGTGTGATTAGTTAGACCATTGAAGAAGATTAAGTGTATTTTTTCAATATTTGTATATTTGAGAATGCTATTCTTAAGAATTTCATTCATTTTGATGACATTTTGTTAGAATATGTACAATTATATTAAAATGTATCTATATGTAAAAATATTTATGAATTTGTATTTAAGTGCGGATGTGTATGAATATATTAGAATGTTGTTATTATTGAATTTCAGGTTCAAGATTTTTATTATTATTTATTAATATTCTAATAGAAAAATAGTCTAACAAAACAATATCATAGAACATTCATTCTGACGGAATAATATTATGACAGAATTAATTAGAAAAAAACAGAATTCAAAATTAAGATAATAAAAAAAATCTCTTAAAATTCGAAAATTTCCTTTTTAAATTTGTGTTTCCTAATTTGAAAGTAATGGAAATGTACATTTTTACCCTTTTTTTTATTAAATGGTATTATTGTATTTTTTTTTAATTTAATAATAGGGATAAATGTTTTTCTTAAAATAACCAAAATGATTGGTCCATAATTATTCCTACATCCACACAATAATTAGTTAGAATACAATAACCTAAGCTTATATATATATATATATATATATATATATATATATATATATATATATATATATATATTAGTTGTAAATGAAAAATTATGTAAGAGGAATATATTGGTTAAATTTTTAAAATTTTTGGAAATAAATAAATTTTGTGTATAAGAACTTTAAACAATTACGATACAAAACGATGGTAGTGTGTATTTACCAAAGTGCACTTGAGGTACGAGGGTTCATCTTGCATTCAAAAACCAAGCGTTTGAAGAATTTCTTGCTGAAAAGGGAGTCACACACAATTTCTCTGCTCCCTACACTCCACAACAGAATGACGTAGTTGAAAGACGCAACCGTTCCTTGTGTGAAGCTGCACGAACCATGTTATCGTTCGCATGTCTGCCACTCTATTTCTGGGCTGATGCGATAGCTACCGCTTGTTTTACCCAAAATCGATCCATCCTAAATAAGCGATTCTCAATCACTCCTTATGAAATCATAAATAATCGCAAACCTAACATTAAGTTTTTCCATGTTTTTGGTTCCAGGTGCTTCATCTTCAACTCCAAAGAACAACGGAACAAGTTCGATGTGAAAGCTAACGAAGGTATATTCTTGGGATATTCACTAACATCCAAGGCATATAGGGTTCTCAACAAACGCTCAAAGAAGATAGAAGAAACCTAATATGTTACGTTTGACGATAGGTATTTAAAGCACATTCAGTCGAACGAAAGTCAGATCAAGGAAATCTTTCCTAAACCATGTCCAGCCATTATTCCTGTGTCCAACCTTTATGAAGAATTCATGTTACTCTTCAATGAACCTGCGAAAGCTATCTCATCTGAAGTGAAAGCAGCGGATAATAAAGTCGAAAAACTTAAGAAGATTATCGATGATGATGCGAAAGACTTGCCTCAACAGCCATCCACGGCGAATGTCCCTCAAGACACGAGCACACATTTCCAGGGGAGAATTCTGGGTCTAACACACAATTCCAGGGGGAAGATGCTACACCTCTAACCACGAATGCTTCTCTGCAGGGGGAGGGTTTTGCATCACCCATTTCTATTGAGTCTCCTTCTGATGGAGATAGTTCCCCACTCACTATGACCCACGAAACTCCATTCTCAGGTGATGATTCAATTCCTGAGGTCAACGAGTTCGCTTCATTCGAGGGGGAGAATAAAGAAGCGAATGACGACTCAGACGCTCAATCTGTTCGAAATGGAATTCAAGGAAGTAAATGTTGGGCTGAATCCATCCTTAGATCCAAATTATCCTCCTATGACCAAATGGACAAAAGATCACCCAAAAGATCAAGTTATTGGTGAATCCTCTGCAGGTGTCCTTACCCGTTCTCAACTGAAAGCGAAGCAAACTACATTATTCTCCAAAGTAGAATTTTGTATGTTCAATTCGTTTGTATCCAATATTGAACCCAAAACCTACAACACTGCTCTCAATCACTCCGACTGGGTGCAAGCAATGCAAGATGAACTCAATGAGTTTGAGCGAAACAAAGTTTGGAGACTAATTCCAACTCCTCCAGATGCATCGGTTGTTGGTTTAAAATGGGTGTTTCGGAAAAAAATGGATAAAGAAGTGAACGTGATCCGAAACAAAGCTAGACTGGTGGTCAAAGGTTATTGCCAGGAAGAAGGGATTGACTATGAAGAGACTTTCGTACTTGTTTCAAGGTTGGAATCCGTTCGCATCTTCTTGGCATATGCAGCACACAAAAACTTTGAAGTTTTTTCAAATGGATGTGAAGTGTGCATTCTTAAATGGAGAACTGGAAGAGACTGTCTATGTGGAGCAACCACTTGGGTTTATAAATGAAAAATATCCCAACCACTGTTACATTCTTGACAAAGCGTTTAACGGTCTAAAGCAAGCTCCAAGAGCCTGGTATGAAACACTAACTCGTTTTCTTAAAATGTCCAAATTCAAGCAAGGTTCGGTTGACCCAACCTTCCTTTGCAAGAAAGAGGGTGGCCACTTGATGATCGTACAAATTTATGTTGAGGACATCATCTGTCACACCCCAAAACCAGAATGGCGGAAACGTTCTGGGGTGGAGGACGTCATGTATAGCATCACAACCAATGTATAATAGCAATCATAGCAACGCAACCATTACATTGAATACTTAAATAAAAATGTTTACATCAATTTGGAAATTGTCAGAAACTCGTTTGGATTACATCATATAGTTTGTATGAATATATAAACAATAAACTCTCATTGCTCCAACTCCTCAAAAACCCAGCAGGTACCTGTCTACTGATTTCCTGAGAATACAAGCAGTTTGAAAATATCAACATAAAGCTGGTGAGTTCATAAGCAGTAGTTTGTAATAAAAACTTGTTGATGAGTTAGCAGAAATGTTTATATATTTTCAATAAAATCCGATATTTTCTTTAATGAAGATGTAGTGTTATTGACTTCGTATAAAACCATGAATGTCCGTTACTAAAAACTGTAGTGATATGCGAAAATACTACCCCATGTGATTAGCTAAAGCTAATCATGAAGTATAAGTATTTTGTATGTAAAACCATTTCATAATCAATTTTGTTTGAAAACCCTGGCTTTAGCCAGTATACATAGTGTATTTTAGTTCTATTTAGTATAAATAAAACCATTGAAGAGTGCCAGGTTGTAAACTAAAGGTGATTTATGCATAATGTGAGTCGTATAACCATACCTGATATGACTAGAGACCTTTCCAATGTTCTTCAGGCGTCGAGTTAAATGACATTTGTCACCCTAGGCATGCCTGCCTAACTGTAGCTAGCAGTTCGGGTGTGGGATTGTCAGTCCTAAATAGATCTATTCACAAATCTCACGCTCTCCCTCCAGGAGACTCTGGTTATACTATGATAGCATTTATCCCTGTACACCTAAGGGTACAGTATTGAAGTAGCGCCTCACAGTATCGTACAATCTAGTTTACATGTAGTGTAGTAGCGTTCTACTGTAGTGAAAATCCGTATGTAAACCGTATATATTGATAATTACAGTTATGAATACCATGATAAATTAGTGATGTAAACTGTAAACGGTTTCTGTCTTAGTGCATATGTTTAGTAGTGAAAGTTTATGTACTTGTTATGTTTAGAAAAATCCCAAACTATACCGATTATAGTTTGCATGAATAATGTAGTGATTAGCGTGTCCGGAAAGCTATGCAATTTTAGTGAAAACGTCCTTTATGCTCAACATGGTACAAAAGGGTTAAAGTATGAGAATTGCATAAGTTTTATATTATTGAATGCATTCATGTTTAGCTTGTATTCCCCCCTGAAAACATTAAAAACATGAAAAATGTAGGGGTATGAAGTCACCTCGGGTAAGTGGTTTGATTGAAGGATTGATACGAAGAGTCGGGTGTTCAAGTGAAGCCTTGAACACGATTCGATCCTAATAACATGTAATGACACATAAACGAGTCAAATGAAGGTATTTCACCACTATAAGTGATGGAAAACCACTCTAGGGACTTGAAACTATTTGCACCAAGTGATAGGACCTTGTAGGATTGAGTGTAGGGGGTGTTTGGCCTCCTAGAGTGTGTGTGCGGCCATTAGTGTGCGGCCCAATGGGTGTGCGGCCGTACACTCATGAAATGAGGTGTCTTCGAAGTGTTCTCAAGGTCCACACTCACATCCACGAAGTGTTCTAGGTCAATACTCAGTTGTAGTGCAAGATAAGGGTCCTAGAAGTGGGTTTATGGTCTTAGAATGAGTGTGTGGTCGCACACAAGAGTGTGTGGTCGCACACTTGGAGTGTGCTGCCGCACAAGGGTGTGTGCGGCCGTACATAGGTGTGTGCGGTCACACACCCCACACAAAGATGTCCAAAAATGCCATTCCAAGGTACAACAAGGCTAGGGGAACGTCTACATCGAATATGGAAGTTAAACTCTCACTTTGGAGGGTGTTTTAAGGGTGTGCGGCCACCCTAAGAGGGTGTGCGGCCTCACT